TCAGCTAAAGTTCAAAACGATGACTAATAATTTCAGAAGGACACGAAGAACAAGAACAAACACCAGAACATCTGACAGGAAACCATCGGATCGAACCAGCAGCAGAACTGAAACACCACATCTCTACTTTTGGGGAGGAGGTCGGACATTTCCCCGTCGAGGACGTTTTTCTAACTCTGACCTGAATCTGAGTTTGTGCTGAAGTCTTGAGGACAGTTAACCTGCTCTGATCTTCTGTCTGTCTCTGAGATAGTTTTAGTTTTTATTGTTCTGGACGTTACCGTGGAAACAGATGAACACAGAACACGTGTTTTAGTCGACGTCATCCTTCTTAGAACTGAAACACGTCTTCTTCTTCTTCTTCGGTGGTTTTCTCTGTTCGTTTCTCGTTTTATAATCTTTGGCGCTGACGGTGTTGTTTCTCTGAACAACACCGTCAGCACCAGCGGCTCCCTCCATGCTCAGGGGCGTGGTTTCCTCTGCTCTGATTTTGATTGACAGCTGACAGGATAGTCTGATTGGTAACTGAGTAAAGACTGAAGGTGATTGGTGGATCGCTGCACATGCAGAGTCACATGTCAGTGTACGTCAGTCAGCTACCCTAAAAATCAGACGAGTTCATTCTCCTCCAACATCGCAGACTCTGACATGTGACTATCACGCACACGTACATCACCATGACGACGATCAAACGATGTATCGTGCAGCTCTAATCTTTATAAATCTCTATATTTCGTCGCTCGCTCACAGCAGACCTGAGGGTCCAGCTGATCTCTGACTCTCTGATGAGTCTTTTGTTTGTTTTCTTAGTTCGTCACCGTGACCTTTGACACCAGGACCGTCATCTAGAGTTCGACCTTTGACCCTCACCCCCGCTCCTGACTCACTCTCTGACCCGTCTGGTCGTGGCGCTCATGTTGGTTTGAAGATCGGAGGTTTCCCCGTTCACTCATAAAGACGTTAACCCTTTCATCGCTCACTGATGCTGTGGGTGAAAACGACCCTGAGAGGTCTGAGGAGGTCAAAGTTCAGGGTGGCTCCGCCCCCAAAACTTTACCGGGTTTATTTTGGCGACTATAGAAGCGGGTTCTGGAGCGGACATCTGCAGTCCATGTGGGGGTCATGAACATCTGGTTTTTGTTTGAGAATGAACTGATCCATGACCTCCAGCTGACCCCCTGAGACTGAAGGTGCCCCTCACTCAGGAACCAGAACCGGGTTAATGGCGAGGAAAGGTTCGTGTGGGTCTCTTTGTCCTACCGCACAGCGTCTCCCTGAACTTGGAGGTCAGTTTCTCGATGACGCCGTACGTCTCCACATAGAAGACATGGTCCTCCAGCGGGATGCTCGCCATCAGCTGCAGGGAGCGCATGTCTGCTCGGTCCACGCCGACGGCGTAGATCTCGATGCCTGAAGCTCGAGCGGCGGCGGACACCTCCTCCACCTGGTCCTGGGGTCTCCCGTCGGTCACAATGATGGCGACTTTAGAGATGTTCCTGGAGCGAGGCCGGGCGCCGGACTGCTCCGTGAAGGCTTCGTTCATCGCCGTTTTGATGGCGAGGCCCGTCATGGTGCCGGCCGCTAAGGGGTCGATACGGGAGATGGCCTTCTTCATGTCAACTTTGTTGGCGTGGTCTTTGAGCAGGAACTCGATCTTCACGGTGCTGGCGTAGTTCACCACAGCGACCCTGGTGGCGTCCCCGCCCACGTCCAGCGTGTCCACCATGTCGGCGAGGAAGATCTTCACCTTCTCAAACTCGACGGGGCGAACGCTGCGAGAACTGTCGATGATGAAGACCAGGTCCAGGGGCCGGCTCCTGCACTGAGAGTCCGTCTCTGGTGATCAACCAAACCAGGAGGTTAAGTCCATGAGAGACACTGAAACACAGGAAGTCCTGGTTCTGAGCTCCGGTGTGAGACCGTCAGCGAGAACCTCACAGTCCACAATCCAGAACCACAACCAGGACTCAGGAGGGATGCACAGAGGAGAACGACCGCCAATGACCGTCAATGACCATCAACGACAACTGTCAACGCCCTTCAAAGACCGCCAATGATTGTCAATGACTGTCAGTGACCATCATTGACCATCAGTGACCGTCAGCGATTGTCAGCGTCCGTGCATCCCTGCAGAGGTGAGACCACAGACCGGGGCTCTGATGGAATCACACAGTCCTCCTCGAACTGTCTGATTTCAACAGACCCTCTGAGACCAGGTCCATCAGAGACTTGGTCCCTCTGAGACCTGGTCCATCAGAGACCCGGTCCCTCAGAGACTCGGACCCGGGTTACTCAGACCAGTTTTCCTTTTCTCTTCAAGTCTCGGTGAAAAGGACACCTGAGGTCCAAACAGGACAGGGACAGAGTTAGACCCCAACCGATCAGGGACAGGTGGACTCGACTGTCCTTTCAAAACAAAAGCATGACTCTACTTTTATTTTGAAACAGGATATGGGGCTGATTTTGAGCTCAAAATAAACATTTAGAGCAGCGGTTCTCAACTGGTGGGTCCTGACCCAAAAGTGGGTCACGAACATGTTCTGGAAGGGTCACGAACAGCTGATCAAAATAGTCAATATTTAATTTGATATTTTCTGTATCAGTAAGTGTCAGTAAAGTTCTCGTCCTCGTGTTGTCTCCTTCATCTGCTCTAAAATTCACTTTACTCCATAAAACAAGTGGATTTATGTTAAAGATTAGAGTCTTTAAAGTTTGTTTTAAATAAAAAATAAATGAATTCTCTAAATGTGGGTCCCAGAGTGAGACCAGTTGAGAAGCGCTGATTCAGAGTCTCTGTTTTAGTTCCTGAACATCTCAGCGATAGTTCAGATGTTTTTAAAGACACAGACAGTCGGACTCAGACTGAACCTGTTCTTATTTTACAGTCTCAGACTCAGGGACTAAAGACCCACAAAAACTCTGCTCCTCCTCCTCCTCCTCCTCCTCCTCCTCCTCCTCCTTTCTGTCCGTCTTCTTTTAAACACGACAAACAAGCTGTGGGTTTATGAGGTCAAAGGTCGTCTCTGAGTATTTACTTTCTCAGGTTTTGTAACCTGACAGTGTCAACACGTCTGCAGAGACGGACTGTGAAGTGTTCCCAACAACAACCACAGAGTGTGTGTGTGTGTGTGTGTGTGTGTGTGTGTGTGTGTGTGTGTGTGTCCTCCTCTGTACACTGACACAGCTGGTGGGGCTGAACTGCTGCAGATTAAATATAAACTTAAGAGAAAGTTTATTATCATTTAAAAGGATTAAAAATATTTAAAAGTGAATGAGCGCTGAGTTACAGAGAGAGGAAGAAGTTTGTGGAAGAAACTAAAGAAACTAAAGAAACTAAAGAAACTAAAGAAACTAAAGAAACTAAATCAGATTTGATCTTTAAAAAGAGTCAGTATGTCGAGTAAAAACAGGGAAACATGTTCATCTGAGTCTGTGTCTGTTTGTTTGTGTAAAAATGTGAATTAAGGTCTTTACTGTCTGTTTCTGAGAATAAGAAATAATAAAAAACATGTGGTCCTGCAGCTCTGCTTTGTTTGATTATTCTGTGTTTAGTCGATGAATCTAAAGAGTTTTTCTTCTTTCTGCTCTTTTTATTCACATGTTTGAGGTTTTTACTCGTTTGTTTTGAAGGTTTTAAATATGAACTGAAATAAAGTATAAAAAATGAAAACGAACTGTTCTTCTTCTCCTGATGGTTGTTGAGTTTCAGACAAACAGACTTTAACAGCAAAAATCTGAATCTATCATAAAACACATGAGAAATACTGGTCCTGGTCTCTCTGTGAGAACTCTGGACCCTCTTGGACTCTCTGCAGGTCTGACAGAGGAGCACTGTGGGGGGTTTGGGGGTGGGGAGTCAAACCTAACTGGGTTATTTCTACCTGTCTCCACAGGACTGACGGTGATGCTGATGAAGCCGCTTTGGGTACTGACCGGTAGAGTCACTGCAGCGGAGGTGGTCTCCACAGGGGTCACCGCCGCGGGCCTGAAGGTGGTCGACTCTGGCAGAGTTGGCAGCACTGGGGGCTCTGGTGGAGCTGGAGGGACTGTGGGGGGCTGCAGCACCGGTGGGGTCGGTACTGTTGGGTTTGACTTTTCTGGGCAGAGACCTTTGATTTTGTGAGGGAAGTTTCCTTTAAAGCTGTGAGGGGGAGGGAAGCCTTTGTACATGTGTGGAAACGCGGACCCTTTAAATCTGTGGGGGTGGAGCAGGGGCCCGACAGGGGACAAGGGTCTGTGGTAAAAAGGCACTGGTGGAGAGAGAGGAAGAGGAGGTGGGTGGAGGAGCGGCGGAGGGATCCGGGGTGGCTGGTAGTGGTAGTGATACCCTCCTCTATACGTGTAGTCACTTCTGTGAACTACGGAGACGACGACGGAGAGGAGGAGGAGGAGGAGGAGGAGAGGGAGGAGGAGAGGGAGGAGGAGGAGAGGGAGGAGAGGGAGGAGGAGGAGGAGAGGGAGGAGGAGAGAGGAGGAGGAGGAGGAGAGGGAGGAGGAGGGAGGAGGAGGAGAGGGAGGAGGAGAGGGAGGAGAGGAGGAGGAGGAGAGGGAGAGAGGAGAGGGAGGAGGAGAGGGAGGAGGAGGAGGAGGAGAGGGAGGAGGAGAGGGAGGAGGAGAGGGAGGAGGAGAGGAGGAGGAGGGGGAGGAGGAGAGGGAGGAGGAGGAGGGAGGAGAGGAGGAGGAGGAGAGGGAGAGAGGAGAGGGAGGAGGAGAGGGAGGAGAGGAGGAGGAGGAGAGGGAGAGAGGAGGAGAAGGAGGGGGAGGAGGAGAGGGAGGGGGGGAGGGAGAAGGAGAGGGAGGAGGAGAAGAGGGAAGAGGAGGAGAGAGAGGAGGAGAGGGAGGAGGAGGAGTAGGAGGGGGAGGAGGAGGAGGAGGGGGAGTGGGAGGAGGAGGAGGAGGAAAGGGAGGAGAGGGAGAGGGAGGAGGAGGAGGAGGAGGAGGAGAGGAGGGAGGAGGAGGAGAGGAGGAGAGAGAGGAGGAGGAGGAGAAGGAGGAGGAGGAGAGGGAGAGGGAGGAGGAGGAGGAGGAGGGGGAGGAGAGAGAGGAGGAGGAGAGGGAGGAGGGAGGAGGAGGAGGAGGAGGGGGAGGAGAGAGGAGGAGGAGGAGGAGGAGGAGGAGGAGAGGGAGGAGGAGGAGGAGAGGGAGAGGGAGGAGGAGGAGGAGGGGGAGGAGAGAGAGGAGGAGGAGAGGGAGGAGGAGGAGAGGGAAGAGGAGGAGAGAGAGGAGGAGAGGGAGGAGGAGGAGTAGGAGGGGGAGGAGGAGGAGGAGGAGGAGGAGGGGGAGGAGAAGGAGGAGGAGGAGGAGGAGGAGAGGGAGGAGGAGGAGGAGGAAAGGGAGGAGAGGGAGAGGGAGGAGGAGGGGGAGGAGGAGGAGAGGGAGGAGGAGGAGGAGAGGGAGGAGGGAGGAGGAGGAGGAGGGAGGAGGAGAGAGGAGGAGGAGAGGGAGGAGGAGAGGGAGGAGGAGAGGGAGGAGGAGGAGAGGGAAGAGGAGGAGAGAGAGGAGGAGAGGGAGGAGGAGGAGTAGGAGGGGGAGGAGGAGGAGGAGGAGGAGAGGGAGGAGAGGGAGGAGAAGGAGGAGGAGGAGGAGAGAGAGGAGAGGGAGGAGGAGGAGGAGGAGGAGGTGGAGGAGGAGGAGAGAGAGGAGAGGGAGGAGGAGAAGTGATGGAGAACATTAGTAAGATGAAAACAACAAAGTTTTTTTCAGTTATGAGACAAAAACAACTTTGGTTTTCTCCACACAGACACAGACAGACACAGACAGACACAGATACAGACACAGACACAAACACAGATACAGATACAGACACAAACACAGATACAGATACAGACACAAACACAGATACAGATACAGACACAAACACAGATACAGACACAGATACAGACACAGACACAGACACATTATTAGTTCTAGTGTCAGTTCAGCCTCCTGGTCTGTTTGACAGTTGGATTATTCTGAGGAGAGCTCGTCAAACATCCACGCCAACATTAACACCGGAGCAGGAGTTCTGCAGAACCTGACCTGGTCTGTCTCAGACGTCCTTCAGCTGAGAGGAAGGAGCTGCACTTTTGACACCACTTCATCATCATCATCATCCCGACTGATAACAGACATAAAAACTCTGTTAGAGTAAACACTGAATGATGATGATGATGGACACGGTCATGGTCGTCAGTATTTCTACTCTTTGTTATCGTCTGTAATTTAGTCTGTTATCGTCTGTAATTAGTCTGTTATTTTAGCAGAGACGACAAACCTTTGTGTGTTTCTTTAATCAGCTTTATGTCATTTTCAGTTTTCGTCCGCGTCTCTTAACTCTAATATTAAAAATCATCTGTGGATGTGGGCTGGCGTGTACGGTGGAGTATTAGAGCCACATTAAAAAAAAAAAGTTAAGACTTTAAAAAAATTAAGACTACGAGATTAAAATCATTAATTTACAAGAATAAGTCATTACTAACGAGAATAAAGTCAAAATAAAGTAATTACTTAAGAGAATAAACAACTATTATACTTATGATCACGTGGTTCTGATGAGCCAAAGTTAAAGTTTCTCCTTGTTTGAGAAACTTTTATTGAAGTCAGTTTTCCTGAAACGCTCCAACTGTCGTCTTCAACAGCAGGTTCGAACAGAAGGACTTAATTACGACTTTAGTCTCGTAAGTTAATGACTTTAATCTCAGAGTCTTCATTTTTTTTTTCTTAATGTGGCCCTGATTCTCCGTCGTAGTCGTGTAAATGTGGTGGAGTAAAAAGTTCAGAATTTCTCATTAAAATAATGATGGTGGACTAAAAAGTACGGAGGCGGAGAACCGACACTGCTGCAAATAAAAAGAATGCAAAAAAGAGAAAAAGGAGAAGAAGAAGAAGAAGAAGAAGAAGAAGAAGAAGAAAAAGCCACAACCGAAGTTAACGACGCAAAAAAAGGTGCTGATGTTAAAAAAAAAGTTACTGCGAAAATAAAAGGATAAGAAAAAAAACACAACAGAAGTTAAACTGAAGTTAACTCTACACCGACATCCTCCAGTTCATCTTCATATGGACTCAGGCCCTACACGGTCAAACCACGACACATTAAAAAGTTTACGAAGTTAAATTGATCAATAACCTTTACACGAACTTCTTTGTTCGTCTTCTGTGTGTAGATCGTAAAACACCCGGTGTGTCATCATTATTGGTCCCCAACTGCTCACTTCTGTTTTTGTTTTTCTTGCATCCTTTTATTTTTGCAGTAACTTTTTTTTTTTCATAACCACTTTTTTTTGCGTTAACTTCCGTTGTGGCTTTTTAATTTTTTTTTAACCTGCACCGTTTCTTTTTTTATTTGCAGTGGGCTTCGGTTTCCTTTATTATTATTATATTTTTTATTTGCAGCAGTGTCTGTTCTCGGCCACCGTACAAAAGTCCTAACAGCAGTAACACTAAAAATATTCAAACGTTTCTCAAAAACGAGACTTTTCAATTTGTCAAACCTACTTGCTGGGTCGAGGGTCCTGATCGGGG